GTGCGCCGGCTGAGCCGGGCAGCAAGAAGGACAAGATGGGCTCCGGCCTGGAGGCAGGAGGGCGGGCAGGAAGCGGAACGGCGAAACAAAAGCAGTGAACAACGAGTAGCCATACCGTCCTGTCATGGACGCTGCACTAGACGCCCTGCTCGGCACTGCTAGGGCAGCCTGCAGCAGGGCAGCATGAAAGTACCTCCACTGCCAACAAGTTTCGGCACGGGGCATGCCAAAGGAAGGATTAAAGATCGCTGCCCCCGAACAACGTTTTCCCGGCTTGGATCGGACCCAGGCGCTTCCGAAATTCGGCCCAAATCGCGAATCCAGCGGGGAAACTGCACCCCTCTCCAGGACCGGGCCGTCATTGTCTCTCCAGCGACGGCCCGCCACTCGGGCTGTTAATTTGTCGGCCAGGTTCAAGTTCCCACCGCCGCCTGCTCCGCCTGCCTGTCTGGCCGGCCGCCCGTCGCGTTGCGGCGCTAACTGGAGCGGTGACACCTGCCATTGCGGGCACGCGCGCCCGACCACCACGCTGGAGTCACTTCACTGGAGCCTCTACAGTGGGTCCTCTACACCGGGCCACTGGGGCCTTTACACCGGGGCCTCTACACTGGGACCTCTACACTGGAGTCTTTACCCTGGAGACTCTGCCTAGGAGTCACTTCACAGGGGTCTCTACTCTGCTGGGTTCTCTTCACTGGAGTCTCTACCCTGGAGTCTCTGCCCGGGAGTCACTACACCATGGCATCTGCACTGGAGTCACCTCCCTGGGGTCTCTACACTGGGAGTCATTATACTGGAGTCACTTCACTGGATTCACTACACTGGAGTCACTACACTGGAGTGACTCCACTGGCGTGTCCAGCGGGCGCGGCAGCGCGGCGCCTCCAGACTGGAGCGTCCGGCGACTGGCCGATAATTGGCGCCGCTCTCCTCCCGCTGCCCGGGCTGCCCGGGGAATTCCCAGATTCCCACACACACTTTGAGCTTATTAAAACGTTTTGTGTTTTGCCGCTTTGCCGCTTTGGGGCGAGAGCGGCTCCCTCCGCTTTCTCTGCGTGGAAGTGGCATGGGCTGGCATGGCGGAAATGAAGGTCGGGCCGGCGCGCTTTGCTTTTGGCGCCAAATACGGAACACGGCGGACCGCAAGCAAGGCCGCAGGCGGGCGGTGCACGGCGTGGTGTGTACAGTGTACGCGCGCAGCGCGGTTTTGTTCCACAGGAAAATGCTAAATTTTTACTCGATTGACAAAGGGGACCAACGGGTTTCTCTTTCATTGGCTAGCGACGGAAGCCGTCTTTATCTTAATGCCCATTGCTCTGGGAGACTCCGGGTGAGCCGAGCTCGGTCTGCGAGTGCTGCGTGGTGCTGCGCGAGCGCCGAGAGCGCCTCACGGCGACGCCAAACGCCAGGAGCGGGCCGCCCCGTCCCCGTCCGCCCGTGAGACGCCGCTTGCCCGCTCGCCCCGCCAGCCGCTCGGCCCAATCTGGTTTACTCGAAGCGACATGAAGCGGATTTAATTTTGCGCGACAGAAAGCGCTCCTCCTCGAGTCCCTCGAGTCCCTCGTCCTCGTCCCGCGATGACGATCAGAGAAAGTGGAAGTCCTAGAAGGGAAGCGGCACAGCACCGCCACGGCACGGCCAAGGCACCGGCCGTTGCAGTGCAGTGGCTCGATGGCTTGCTGCGCGTCGTCCGAGGCGGTGCATCCTTGAATGACACAGCCTCGGCCTGCAGGACGCCCCGGACCCCGTCGGCGAGGCTGGCCGCCGCCGCGCCGCCGTGCCGCCACATATGGACCGGCAGCGCCGCGACCCGCCCGCCTTGACATTGGCTACGGCGCTGCGTCGCCGTGGCCTCGGACCCCTGCCGACGCGCCGAAACCGAACCCGTACCCACCTGTCGCACGGCGGCACGGCGCACTGCAAAACCAAGCGGCCCGGCTTCGAGCCCCGCCGCCGCCGGGGACACTTTTCATTTTCATTCCTCCCACGATCCCGAATTCAGGTTTTCCGCCGCAGCCGAGATACCGCGCGACCCACAGCGCGGTGCCGGCCTCCTCGGCGACCTTGCCGGCATAATGCAGTGCAGGCGTAATGCTGTTTCACGGCACGGCGCGGCAGTACTTAGCCGTGCGACCGCACGCTGAGACAACGCAGGGCCGCCCTGCCTAGGGCCCAAAAGGGAGGGGGGGGGGCTAAAAGGTGCCCGCCGCTCCAATAGGGCCTAAATGGCGTGAGGTAACTTAGAAGCGCCCGCCATTATGCCCCGGCCTTTCTCACACCCTCTCTCTCCGTCTCCCTCGCTCTACCCGTACCTGCCGAACGAAACACTCTCCCTCTCTGTCGCCCTCGCCGCTCCTCCCCGAACGAAGCACTCCCTCTCTGTCGCTCCCATCCTGGCGCGGGCCTCACGTGGCCGCTTCCTGCTTAGCAGGCCGTGGGGATTATCTGGCCCTACACTTGATACCGGCCGGCACTCCTTGGCGTTGCGCGTCCGACGCGGCCGACGGCCGGGCAGCAGGCTGTCTCTCTCGCACTCATGGGGCGTCCCTCGCGTGCGAGAGAGACAGAGCGATGGAAACGACTCTCAGTCTGCCGCGCTTCTAGGATCCGCCTGACGAAACGAGAGGAAACGAACCGTCCCGAGGTAAATAAAGGGAGTGAACAGTGGCCTGATCTCCATGCAACGCGCGGCGCGGCGCGGCCGTGGAAATGGTTTGGGGAGCGGGTGAGCGGAAGGCGGTATGGAAATCGGGGAGGAAGTGGAATAAGGAAACAAACATGCCGACCCAATCCAGCCGGGGGACCTACAGTGTACACAAAGCGCGTAACGCCCCGTCTCTCTCGCACTCGAACGAGCCGCCCTATGAGTGCGAGAGAGACAGCAGTTCCGATTGGGCACAACCACCGAGAGGAGCTCTAGCGCTATCGCGGTCCAGCGCCCAGCTCTGCACCTCGAGCCGGCCAAGTGTTTGCTGCGCTGGCCGAGCGCCAGCCAAGGCCTAGCAAGCCGAGTCCGAGCCCGCGAGCCTCCGAGTCTCCGAGCCCCGGGCGGACGCGCGGACTCGCGGACACGCGGACACGGACCTTGGCACTGGGATCCTGCGCCGAGCAGCGCCGCTGCAACGCGGCCCGCCTTCCTGTCTGTATGTCCGTCCGTCTGTCTGTCTGTCTGTCTGTCTGTCTGCTGCACTCGTAATTTCAGTGGAGACGCATATCGTTCCAGTGCAGTCCTAGATGCCGCGCGATGTTCCAGGAACTTCCAGGAACCTCGCTCCTGCGGCATATCGCTCCAGCCGGGCCCCCAACGAAGCGGCCACGGCGCGGCAGTTCGAATTCCAGGAACCCTCTCCTGGAAGACAGACTTACATATCGCTCCAGCTCGAGCAAAAGCAACGAAGGGTCGTGCTTCGCGCGGATGGAAATTCCAGAAAGGATGGACTCTATTTGTGGCGGCGTCGTGCTGGAGATGACGCTCGGGATTCCAGGCCTTCCAGGCCTATTCCAGGCGAGCCTCCTGGAAAGACATGCAGCCGAGTCCGGCCGAGTCCCCGGGGAGGGGAGGGGGGGGGGGACGCCCCTTAATTGCGGAAAAGCCTCGCTCGGGAGCGACATGTGGCTCCAGTACTGTACAGTCCGCCTCAGCTTTTCCAGCCGCCTCCAGCAGGGCGATGAGACAAGCAGTGGCTGCGTGCGAAGAGCGAGGTGCGAGGCTGCAAGCGGCGGACAGGCCGCGGGTCTCGCAGGTGCGCCGTGTGGGCGGTGCCCATGGCGGCGCCGCGGCCTGAAGCCCAGCAGGCTGATTCCGAGAGTCGTTTTCGTCGCTCTGTCTCTCTCGCACCTGTGCGGGACGCCCCATGAGTGCGAGAGAGACAGCGCGACAAAAACGGCTCTCGGAATCAGTCTGCCGGGACGTAAAGTCGGAATCAGGACGGCCGCCGCCTCGCTACTCCCTCGCCTCCTCCGCGGACTCCGTGCCGCCTGGCGCGTGACGAATCCTCCGGGACGGTCCGGGACGGTCCCAGAGGTCATCGCCTTCGTCTTCGCCTTCGCCTTCGGGTCTCGGCGCGCTCGGAGCGCTCGGTCGCTAATCACGAGCGTCCCAGCGTCCCCAAGGGCCGCGGCCGCGGGCAAAAAACGCGACCGGGGCGCGCAGCGCGCAGCAAAGGCATTGCGGACTGCGTGGCGAATCCTCGCGTTTCCCCTAGTGGGCCCCGCCGCGGTGACGAAGTGACACGAAGTGACACGAAGTGACGGAGTGGCGGTCGTCGCGTGGCGCAGAGAGCGTCCCCAGCCGGACCAAGCCGGACGGGCGGAGGCCGACTCGACACTTGTGCCGTCGGGCTTCCAATTTTATGGCGATATCGTGATATTTATGGTTTGTGTGCCCCGCGGACTGCGGACTGCGTTTGCGCGGTGCTGTGCGAGGCATTTGCATCGCAGCGGTGTTTTCATGTCGTCGGGACGGGCGGTACACTGGCAAGATAATCGGCGCGGACAAGTCATGTTCGGGGCCGGCGGTGCGACCGGGGACCGCCGTGCTGGGTAGGCAACCACCATGGCTCGACGCACGGGTGGCGGGCGGGACTGCCCACCTCGCAGGCGTTCCAAGCCTTGACACTGCGAGGCTGTTCGCACGGTCGAATCGGGTTTGACGGATGGAGCCTTGGAGGCGAGGCCAGGAGGCCTGGAGGCCTGGAAGCAAGCTCGAAGCCGGTCGCCCCGCATGGGGAGATAACTGGGGCTGTGTGTCGAGCGAGTGTGCCGCGCTTGCATTAGCATGCGTGAGGCGCTCTCGCCCTGCAGGCTGAGCAGTGCGCTTCTGTCTGTCTGTCTGTCTGTCTGTCTGTCTGTCTGTCTGTCTGCTCTTGTTTACTACATGCTAACAACGGTTATTCACTTTATTTTTTTAAACGGAGTGCAGTTGCTCGCAGTTGTGCCAACCTGTCTGCTGTCCTCCGAGATGCTCATGAATAATGATTCGTTCCGCGTGTCTGTTCCAGCGGATGGCCCCAAGATGAAGAGAAGCAGGGAGTCATGACCTTGCATTGGTGGCAACACTGGTTCTGGATTACGGGCCGGGCGCCTGGTAAGTCAACAAACCATTATTTTAAGTCAACAAACCATTATTTTCCTCCCCGAGGCCAGTGGAAAGGGAGAAGTACAATTGGTCGATTTTTCCTATTATTTTTGCGCCTTTGTTGTTGGTTCTATTGTACACCGGCTGTCGAAAAGTTTAAATGGAAATGTCTGAAATTTATTTGATTTCTTTAGTAACGTTTGCTCGGCTAGCGGCGCGTCGCGGTCTGGGAGGGGTGCGCAGCGCATGTGGTCTGGGATTGGGGATTGAGTGTCGACGTGTGTCTGTGTGTGTGTCCAAACACGGGGGCCCAACTCGCTGGGTGACATCGCTGAGTGGTCGGGGCAAAGCCGGCGACACGGCGCCCCCGTCGGGTTGCCATGCGCCAAGCGGCGCCAAGCCCACGCCGCGTGCAGGCGGTGCAGGCCTGCAGGGCTTCCCGTTGTCAGGGCGACTGTAGCGGCGACCCCTCGTGCGCCCCGCCCCGTCAGTGCACCGCTCCGCGGCTCCGCGCTCCGAAAAGGGAATTAAAACAAACACGCGCGAAATGATGCGTCCCCGCGTCGCGGACCCCGCGGACCGTGGGAATGGAAAGGGGCCGGACGGGAGTGAGTGCTAATCGCGTTAACAGCGTCCCTTTCCGTCCCTCCGAGTACCGAGTGACGTCACCGGCCGCCCTCTGTGACACCGGAACAAAGGACACACACACACAGACGCAGAGGCACTCACGTGCAGCGCCCTAGCCCTCGCGCCCCTCGCCTTCCGCGCGGTGGTACCCTAGCAACAATCCCCCACACTTCCTCTTCCCCAACGGCAGCTGCAGCAGTCCTCTCTCATTTGGAGTCTTTGAGGCACAAAACACAGAAACATGAAAAGAACAGCGACGCAGCCCTTGGCCTTGGCGCCGTGGCGCGCCGTGGCCGTTGAGTGGGGGAAATGAGCGCCCCAGAGGCCCAGAAGGGGTCTCTCTTGGGGGCAGGCGAGGAGGGAAGCTTTCGGAAGCTTTGCTGCAGGGCGAGGTGCAGGCTGCACGGGGCGACCCTTGCAGTGGCGCGCCCTCCCATTGTGGGGCCCCACGCCCCCTGCCCCGCCAGGGACGGCTGGGCCGGGCTGTCCGTGCTACGGCTTTAGGGCCCGGCGTCCGTCACCGCAGGGCCGCCGGGCCGCCACCCTTGGCCGCACTCTTCACGGGCTTCGCCAAGCTTCGCTCGGCTGCCTCCGAAGCGACGTCGCGCCGTTCGCCTCGCACCCTCCCTGCCTCGCGCTGCCCCTGCCGGCCGGAGGGTTGTTCGGACGCAGCGCCGCCAAACGCCCCAGACCAATGGCCCGCCCCTGCCCCGCCCCTGCTCTGCCCCGGGGACGGTTTGCACGCTCGCTTGCGTTGTGACTGGCGGGCCTGAAACGCGTTTGCGTAGTCAAGGAGCGGTTCTGGCTGTATTGGATCAAGTCTCCGCCGACAATCATGTGCATGAGGCGGAGGAGGCACGCGTCACGCCGTCGCGCGCGGTGCTCTAGAGGAGAGACCGTCTCGCCGTTCGTTATCCCCATGCTTTCCAGTCGTGAGCAGATAAAGGCGCATCGGACTGACTGTGTGGTCGTTTCCGTGTTGCAGTGGTCGCGGTGCTGCTCGCTGCCTGCCATGTCTGGTGCCAGCAGCCGCAGTGGGGCGACCCAGGCCTCCTCCGCCTCGCCGGGCCCGGGGACGCCGCGGGCCTCGGACCCCAGCCCCAGCCGCACTGGTGGACGCCGTTGCCGGTGCAGGCCGCGGTGGCGCCAGTCGCCCTCCACGCCCTGCACGTCCCCGTGGAGGCAGGGATGCCGGCGTGGTACCCGTGGGCCCCACGCCGGCTGCTGGGCTTCGCGGGGGCGGGCGACGGCACTCCGAGTCCCGTCGCTGCGTCAGAGGCGTCCGAGTCCTCGTCGGCCGCCCCCGCGGCCTCAGCGGCTGCCCCGGTAGCCGTCTCGTACCTGACGACCCTCGGGCCCGGCCCGGGCCTGGGGGCCGCAACCGCCAGCTCTAGTCAGCCCCCAGCCTCGCCCGCGTCCTCATCCGCTGCCTCGTCCTCGGCGCCCAGGCCGCGGGAGCCCAAGGCCATCGGGGTGCTCCCCGTCGGCGTGATGCCCACCGTGGTGCGCGCGGTCCCCACCGCCGGCACGCCGGCAACCCGGCCGCCCGGCACCGTCACCAGTGTACTGGAGATCGTCGAGGAGCTCGCCGAGGCCGCCACGCCGTCCCCGTCGGAGAACACCCCGACGTCACCGTCCCCCGCCTCGGCCGCGGAGAACGAGGCCGCGCTGCAGGCCTCCTCCGCCGAGATGCCCAACGACGAGCCGGCCAAGGCCGTGTCGGCATCATCCGCCGAGGCGGCCGAGGCCAGCCCCACCGAAGCCAGCGAAGCAGCCTCCAGCTCTGCCAGCCCCGCGAGTGCCACCGGCACCGCGCCGACGCGAATGCAGTCCATGTCCCTGAGCACTGCCGGCACTGCCCCAGGTAAGGCCCGGTTGGCGCACCAGTGCACATCAAGCTGGAGATAAGGCCATCGATCGGGAAGCATGCACCCACCATGCACCCAGCAACGGCGTGCCGATGATACCAAAATTATCAGGGAAGGGCGTGCACAAGGGCGGCGATCGGCGAACGCAAGGCCCGGCCCGCGGCAGCAAATGGCAAACATTGAGCGCCCGCCAGTCGATGGGTAGGCCACCCGCCTCGCCATGCTGCGCGCGGGGCAGGCGCGCCGCCTTCAACTTGAACTTGACAGGCTAGACTACATTCGATCTTATGCCGTTCCGGGCTCACCCCTGACTTTACCTTTTTCTGTTCTGCAGCCAGTGACGTCACGCTGCCTGCCGCGAGCGCCAATGACAGCCGGACTCCGGGCGCCACCGCCACCACCAAGCCCGATCTCAGCAGTACCGCCTCGCCGCGCCTCGGTAGCATCCGCCCGGAGGTCGCCGCGCACCCCGGCGTCGGCGTTCCGCGTCGCGTCGCCACCACCCTAGCGGCCGCCGCCCCCACGACGCCGGCCTGGAGCGCGGCCGCCGCCACCGCCAGCAGCGCGACGCAGCCTCCGCACAGCCACCGGTCCGCCGCCGCCCCCCTCGGCTCCGCGAGCTCCTCGGCCGGCAACGCCCGGCAGCACCGCGTCGACGCCATGTCGCTGTCCTCGGGTGGCGGCCTGGATGCCGGCTCCATCACCGGCATCGTCCTCGGCATCGTGGTGTTCGCGGGTCTAGTCGGTACGTCACGTCGACGTCACGTCGGCATCGCAAAATTCACCGACAATTTCCGCGGCACTTTGCTTGTTTGAGTCGTCGTAACCCCTTTTAATTTTATCTCACCAGGCACTGTGAGCTTTATTCTATACCGGCGACGTTACCTGAACAAGCCTCAAACTCTCAACGACAAGTGCAGTAATCCAGACTCCAGTGGCTACATCGATGACAGTACATTCCGGGTAAGTCAATTTACACAGTACGGATATTTGTAGTGACAATAATTTTTCATCAAGTGAATCATTAACAGTTTTCTTTATGTCTTTTGTTTCTTTTGTGTTTCAGGAAAACTCTGAAGAAATGTATAGTCTTGACAATGATTCATTTCTTAACAGCCTTGAAGCAATGACCATCCAAAATTACTGGACAGATACTGTTAAGCACACTAAACTTTAGGTATTGTCAATGTGTGTTCACACTGTCAACGAACATTCCCCAGTTTTTTATTTCTCGGAGAAACAGCGGCAGAGGTGGACCTTCTGTTCATTTTATTTATTTACGAGGAGTGTAGAATACAGTTTAGTCTAGTTGCTCCTATGGAAATCAATCCCACTGAAATATGTTTCTTTTTCATAGTATTTTTACTGAATATTATACTCAGGAATCTTACCTTTTGTTGTGTGTGTTTCTGTTAGGAGATTGTGGTGGTAGTTTTGTGTTTTAATTCCATTGACTTAGAAGATTCTGCCTATTTTATTGAGTAGTGTACTGTTACCTGTGTAGTTCCAACATTGAAAATTGTATGTCCGATTCTATTTATCAATCCATTTTGCTCTATTTTTGCTGTACTTCTTTTGAATTGACTTGACAAAGTATTGTTAGTCCTTGTGCAATCGGTAGCTATTGATAGAAAATCTGCAAAATCAAAGTCAGTTTTGATTTATTTTGTATTCTGTAAAAACATATATTGGTGATTTCTCACTGGACATGTGAAAGATTTTTGGCTGGCATTCTAAAAATTATGTGGCAATTTTTACTTCACTTACCATGCAACTTGTACATATCTGATGTAAAGAGTTACCAAGGTAATTGAAACACCTGACAACTTTCAAACTGTTGTTAAAATGGAAACATATCCAAGCTGTAATTAATTCTTCAAGAAAGGCCTAAAAAGAAAAATTGGCATATTGTTGTATAATAACAGAAATCACTCAATGAAAGTACGTAAACTTATTGTTAAAGCCTATTGTGGATTAGATTGCCCCCTTTAGTTTATTTCCGTAATCAATTGTCTTATAAAAACTGTGTAATTTACCTCCTGAGCGTTCTGCTGGTAAAATTTACTTTAAGGTTGTGAGGTTCGTATGGGCCTGGGGCTGTGTTTGTGTAATGAGTATGCTGATATCAAGTGTACATGTGCCTATAAGCGTATGCATTTTATCTTGTTAAAATTTGAGTGCATCGTTTGTTGTGCATTATTATAAAATACCCTCACTCCTGTTTTGTGATATTTTTAGTTCGATGTAATTAGGTGGTCTATTCTCACATAAGCAAAACCTTTTTTTAAACAATGAAGTTTCCCTCCATTCTTACCCAGAGCTATTCACAAGTTGGGTCCATTAGACAGATAAGATTGTTGCAATGTACATACAATATATTTCATGTTTATCCTAGTCCATGATTTGTTTTCCCTTTCTTCATCCAAGATTGTGCTGGAAAATCTTACAGTTTTAAATCAAATGATACAATCAGCTAAAATATGAAAGTTCATTACCACTATTGCACCGAAACCTTGCTTTTACTACAATATTTAGTAAAAAGAAATTTGGGTGTGCTTTCTGTTGGGATTACAGAACTAGTAAAGAAACACTAAGATTGCACTGCTGTATTTAAGATTGTTCATTTGATTAATGTTTGTGTTTTACTTATGTTTATGAAACAAAGTCCAAAATAATAGTACCTGCCTTTGCCCTGCATGCCCCTGTAACTTTCGGGTACCATCATCACAGGAAAAACAGAGTTGTAAATTTAAGCCGCTTAAAGGGCCTGTAGAAGTACAGGATTTACACCTCAGTTCAGGTGTTAACTTATTTACACCTTTGTTTTTACTGAGTTTGCAATTTTAGAAGTTGAGCTTTCACATAAAAACTCTGTAGACTAGTTTTTAGGTGTATCTTTGTTATTCCACATCACATATCACCAACTGAAAGGAATTTTAGTGTAGATAAACCATGGAGCTATTTTCATAATGTAATTTCCCCTCTTCCGTTCTTTCTTTCTCTCTTTCTTTCTTGTGTGAATGTTGTTTCAGCTTAACTGCATAATAAACTTGAGTGTCAATTTTTAAGGATTATAATGATGCTGTCGGTAAATCATTGAAAACATAGAGTATTTTTGAGTGCTTTCTTCTCATAATTTTCATGCCATACTATTTGGTTTTTGTATTGCATCCCTAGCACTGCAAAATAGCGCTTCAACTTAAGGCACCTTCACTGTATGTACCTTAGCTCTCCACATATATTCATTAACTGTGATAAATCTAAGAAACCTGTCCTTCATTATTTCCATGTTAAGTTTTGCCTTCAAGAATAGTAAGTGTACCATCATTCCATTCCATATTCCATTATGTTCTTCACAAGTACAGTAATGAAGTTTAGTAGTGGTTATCTCTTAATTTTCTTGTGGTGTCTACTAACTCTCTTACAAAACTTTGTTCAAGATGGACGCCCCACTAGTTTACTATGCATTTACTTTTAAGTATTGCCTCATCCACAATTAGGAAGCAAAAAATGAGTACTTCTCTCCCACATTTAATTTAAAAAAAAAAAACATGATCTGATAAAAAGAATTGTTGAATGATGCTTAACGCTGCTGTGATTGTTTGTTTAAGTTTTGTTCTCTTGTTATGTTTCTTACAGAAAGATGTTATCTGTCCATGTCAGAATGTCAAGAGCAAGATAAAAGAATCTATAAAAAGAGAGCTTTCTATTTTATTTTCCTTTTGCATTTTGAAAAAAAAAAAAAACAGCTACCAACATACAATTTATATACCAATAAAATTTGACAGAGTGCATCTCGAGATGACAAAAATCAATGTCCACCTACTTATTTACAGAGATATGCAAAAAACACACAATGGAATGGTTACTAGCAGTATTACTGGTGCTATTTCATTTACACACTAAAATCTGACAGAAATTAATGGCAGTACCCTGATGCTCAAAATTGAAAAATCCTGAAGAAATTTGGTGCCACTTGAGGATTTAAATAAATCTTAAAATCCAGCTTTCAGCTTGTTGAGGTAGTTTAGACGTGCCTCCATTTTATCAGCAGGTCGGTTGTAAGGTGTCCAAATGGGCTCACCCACAAAGTACCTTTTAACACGAATAAAGTTCTGCAAAGAAGATAAAAATGGTCAAACACATCAAATAAAGTTCTTTCATGAATGAGCAAAGCAGAGGGCACATACCTTTGTGTCCAAAGTAAACCTGTGATAGATGCCACTGGGAATGATAATCAAATCCCCAGGTGTAACTTCGATCCTGATCCATTCATCATTTGCATCACGTACATCAAAGTAGCCACTACCAGACAAGCACAGTCGAATTTCTTCATCAGTATGAATGTGCTCAGTGTAGAACGTTCGGAGCTGTTGGTAAAAACAAAAATTGTTAGTATTTTAAAATATTGCAACTGCTTATTGACCACTTAACTGACAGCACATATTCGTGCAAAACAATACGTAAATCAATGAAAATTTCAGATGCTTACCTTTGCTTCATAGTCAGGTCTGCTCTCTTCAGTCTGGAACTCATCTTCGTAAGTGTACCCTCGTTCCTTTTTCAGGTTTAAAAGGACATCGTCGGTCTCAAATGAATCATGTTTTATCTAGAAAACAGAGAATACATTTGTCGCATTTTTAACTATGTGCCACAGAAATTGTATGAAGATAATAGCAATTTTAAAATCACCTTGAAATGCTCGACACCTGTTGACTTGCAGAGTTGTGGAATCTCAATAAATTTTGGAGGGTTACGGTGATGTTCTAGTCTCTGATCCTCAGACGAATCATCCATGTACCATGCTCGCACCATTTTCAATGACACCCTGTAAAAATAAATAAATACAGAAATAAGTAAAAATAAACAAATGGATTAGCATTGTCAACAATATTGAACATTACATAACACTGCAGTTGAAACTATTGAATGTCACTTACTTGAAGCTAGTGGCAGACGACGTGACACCTATGTACTTGTTGCTCTAGAATTGACTTGCTAGAGGCTGCTTCTTTCTAACCCCAACAGAGGCGACAGGACAAGTTGTAAATTTCGTGCACTGATAAAGTGCGTGGCGTGGTGTAGTTAATTTACAGAAGAGGGCGCAACTGCTGCTCTCGAGCTCTTGCCGAAGAAGCCCGACGGCACCCGAACGATTCCCGAGCAGGCGACAGCTGTGCCAGGGAAGGGAAGGGAAAGGGGAAGGGGGGAAGTGGGTAGACGAAAGTAGAGAGGGGCCGGGGACCGGCAGTCTCAAATGTAATTTTGTGAGCAGTACTTGTGTCCTGTTCCGTCAGAAAGTCCTTTCGAGTTTTATTGAGAGAAAAGAAGAAAATTGGCCGGTGAGGCCTCTGGAACATGTCTGGGGATGTGCAACCAAGGAAGCGAAAGGATAAAAAGAAAAAGAAAGGTTAGTCATTCTTGTGCTTAAGCCACTAGTTGCTTCATCTTGGGTAGCCAATAACAATACTCTTAGCTCTGGAAACAGTTGTGATTTATAGGCATTTATTTCAGGGAGGTAATTTATAAAATCTTAATGGAATTGATTGTCTCTTTGTTTAGTTGTTAGTGATGAATGTTCCAAATTGCAACACATTTGTCTTAAACAACATGAACGGTTTCAGTACGAAATGGTTGTTGCCTCAAAAACCATGACATGACTTAAGGTTTCTATAGTTTGCGGAACTAGTTCAGTCAAGCCCTTTTATCTATTTCAAGAATTGAAGCTGTGAAAAGTAACACTTGACCCATTTAAAATTTTGTGACACGTTAGGTTCGCATAGCTTTATCTCAGCGCTTATGACAATATTGTACACCAATTATTTCAAGAAAATTACGGAGTTTTTTCAGCGAATTTTCAAATTGAGCAGGAAATTTTATGCATAATTTTTAATTGATAATTTTGTTTGGACTGGTCACTTTTACCTCATTTAATTCAACTTGACTTCTAAAAAATAATTTTGTTAGGAAACTCCAATTAGTAAACAATTTTGTGTGCTGCAAAAGCTTCTTCAACAAGACTTTCTTTTTTTTAGGAAAGTAAGTTTTTTGAAATTGTAGTTAATCAGGTCTTAGTTAACAGTTCCTCTCAAATTTTCCAAATTTTCAGAGAGGGGAGTGGGGTTGGTGCCCATGCCCGCGGTGACCTTCCCCTTGAAAAGCAAACTCGCCCCATAGAAGTGAAGCCTCCCAGTGTGGTGGCCGTCGGGACGGGACGCGACACCGTGACACGGCGGCTAATTCTTGGAGAAATGCGACACTGCCGGTGTATAGCGCGTCCTTGAGGGCTCCGGTTCCAGGCCTCTGCGCCGCAAGTGACACTCAGACACTGGGACACCCAAACGTCCTGGTGACGATAGGGGACGCGCCACGTGGAACACGTGGGTCTTTGGGGACCTTCAGGGTGGCGGGCACCCTCGCGGGCACCGGTTCGAACCCAGGCCCGCGCGGTGCGCTCGGGCCCCAACCAAGTGGCGCCAGGCCGGAACAAGGAACAATGGCAGGGCGGTTCGCGCTTCACTTCGCTTTGTGTACTTTGTTCTTGTTCGGGGAGTGCATTTCGCGTTCTGCGCTTTTGGCACGGTTTTGGGATCCCGCGACCGTCCCCTGAACTCGTGTCGAGCGAGCACGCCTTGCCAAAGCGACTGGCTGACTGGCTCGAAGGGGAGGGGCTGGGAGGGGGTGCCCAGATGCCTTCCCTTCGGGTTTTGCAATTTTCAGCCATGCGATTCACGGCAGTGATTTGGTTGGGCAAGAGCGGCGCCCGCAGCGCATGCCCCACACCGCACTAGCTGCCCCGAACAAAGACACAAGCAGTCGATGGTTTTGCCGCGCTTTCTAGGGTTTGGGGTGCGCTCGAAATAGAAAACCACCCCACGTGGCGGGTATTCGAACCGTGAACCGCCGGTCCCGAATTCGAGGGCCTGGCGATCTCCCCGCTTGGAGCGTTGGCTGGCTCTGCTCTACTTTGCGGCTAGGCTTGTGGGTGCTTGTGGGCCTCGAGGGCAGCGAACTGCTTATTGTTGGTCGTGAAGGTGAAGGTACTGAATGCCCGTGGCACCGCGGGCCGTGTGGCGTGCCGCGGCGCGAGCCCGCGGCGATTGAGCACCCCTCAAGCCCGCTCGAGGCCGTGCACAGCGTCAGCAGCTGCCCCACTGCAGGCGCTGCAGGCCGCCACCTCGCCACACTGAGTGACACTGTGCGACACTGTGTGACACTGTGTGACAGGCCGTGGGCGGGCCGCGGCCGCGGACCGCGCGGACAGCTGAGCACACCCACGCAGCTATCGACGCAGGACGAGGTCAGTCCCTCGTCCTGCGTCAGTTCGGAGGCTCACGGAGCAGTCCGCAGTGAGACGCAGAACGCAGGGCGGCGGCGCCAGGCTCGACGCCAGGCTCCTCCCTGCTTGTCAGCGCCGTCAGCACGGCGTCACGGCCACCAGCAGGGGTTGCCGATGTACCCGGCGTGGAGCCACGCAGCGCGTAGAGCGTAGACAAGGCGGCAGCCGTTGGCGGGCTGCCCGGCCGCGCAGTCGCGGACGAGCCAGCAGAGGGGTTCCGAACATCCCGTTTTCGGCGCTCCGTCTCCCTCGTACTCGCGGGGCGTTGCGCGTGGGTGCGAGAGGGACGGAGCTACCGAACGCGGTGCGGGAACAGCCCCCTGAGGGAACCCCGTGGGCCCTCTGGGGGACGTTGGCGGCTTGGTTGGCGGGGACGGGGACCGCGGCGTCGTGTAGGGGCGCGGCGGCCGGCGGCCCACTCTGGGACGGCCAGGCTCGGCCAGGCTGGTCGCGCTATTCTTAGCGCGGAGCACCTCCGCGGTGGTACGCCGCCACGCCGCGTAGCACGGTGTGTGAGGAGAGAGCAGAGGACTGACTTGCCCTCGACGACCCGCCTTCCCTTCCCCTCCCTTCCCTGCGGCAAGCCTGCGGGCAGCGAGCCCTTGACGCTCCCTAGGCAGCCGTGGCAGCGACCGGGTGACGGACGTTGTACTGTATGATAGTCTGTACCGAGGTCTGTACGGTCGCCGGCTGCATCCAAGCAGCTTGCAATTCCTTTTGCAAACGTTGTCGCCGTTGCCGTTTTTAGCAGGGACGCCAATGCTGCAGCGATGCTGTCGCACGTAGTTGTTGTCCGTTGCAATAAGTAAGGTGCGAAGCAGAGGGCGAGCTCGGAGCTCAAACCGCGTCACGCGAGGCGTAACGTTTATCGTTGGCTGGTCTCGATGAGGTCCCCGCGCACCCTCGCTCTCTCCGCCGCGCTGCTCACGAATGCATCACAGTGAGGTCAACGTGTGCTAGTGTCAGTGGGCAACCCCGACAGCCCTACACGTCCCCGCCGCCCCGCCCGCAGGCCGCAGACGGGGCACGCGCGCGGTGGCCGCGCGACGCCGCGACGCGACGCCGCGGTGAGCTCAGGCGTGGCGCGGCGGTGCGTGGTGGCGTGGCGCATTACGACGCCGCCACGCCGCCACTACATCCGCCTGGCGTCCACTGGCGTCTCTCAAGCCCCGTCCACGGCGTCCTGTCCCTGTCTCTTGGGCCCGTGGCGTGGCCGGCCTTGCGTGGCATCAGCACTCCCAACCCCTAGGGCCTTCGCACAACCCTGCCCTGGTCCTCCCCTACCGGCCAACTCATTCTGACTCTCGAGACGCTGCGCGGGTCCATTCCCCTGCAGAGAGTCCCTTTCGTACCCTTTCGTCTCTCTGTCTCTCTCGCACTCATACGGCGCCTCGTATTGGTGCGAGAGAGACAGAGCGACCACAACGACTCCCGGGTTCTGTCTACTGCGTCGCCGCGTCGCCGCGCATGCATAAACCAACCACGGCGCCGGCAGGACCGCGTTGACCCCGATTCGTTGTTTTTCCAGATGAACCCTCACTGCCGCCGTTCGTGTACGAGAAGGAGCCGCCCGTGATCGTGTCCAGCAGCAACAATGGCGGCAACAGCTCGCCGTCGGCCGCGTCGCCGGACGAGCAGATCCACGTGTACAAGGAGTCGCGGCTGGGCGGCAACATCTGCGCCAAGATCATCTTCTTCCTGCTGCTGGCCACGCTGGCCGTGATGGTGGGGCTCATCATCACGGAGCACCGCGGCTCCAGCGAAGGTAGGCGCGGCGTTTGTTTGACGACGCGATAGCGCTAGGGCCAGGGCCAGCCAGGGCCTGGAGATAGCGCCCGTTGGGCTGCCGGCAAGTCAAGCCGTCAACGTCAAGCCTAGCCAAGAGAGCGCCTGTGAGGTGGGCCGGCCCGTGACACACCGGAGTGGCGGGAGAGCCTGCCTCGCAGGCGTTCAGAACGTTCACGGCGACACTGCGGGCTTTTCGGAACAGAGCTCACGTTCTTTTGGCCTTTCGATGTGTTGTAGAATGTTTTATTGTTTTTCTGACCGTTCTGTAGCTAGTGCCTCTTTTGAAAAAAAAAAATACAATAATCATGAAACTAACAAATTTTTTTCCAATTTAGTGGCTACTGCAACTGATTCACCATGGTCCCAAATGCTCGAAGGGTGGATAGACGATTCTCCTCCTGACAAACATGATGATGAACATGATGCAGCAATCGAAGATGATGACCACGACGAACACGATGACCATGATGAACATGATGACCATGATGAACATGCAGACCATGATGATGAAGAGGACGAGCATCATGATGAGGAAGATGAAGGTGAGAAAATAATAGGCAATGGCTTCATAACATTAAAATTTTGAATAAGCTAAATAAATTGAAATTTACATTTTATGGTTATTGTTCAAGTTGGTTGTAGTTATTTGGAGTAGAAATTTTGAAACACCCTACCTTTTTTCTGTAGAACATGAGGATGATGAAGAAGCGGCAGTATTTGAGCAGGAGCAGGAAGCACGATCTGCTCGAAGCGTAGCCTCAGAGCCTCAGGTAAGTGAAGAGGAAGATGGGGATGAAAACAATGATCTTGAAGAAGGTGACAAAGATGAAGAGGATGGCAATGAAGAGGAAGAGGAGCAAGATGATGGAGAACATCCACAAGAAAATGAAGATGATGAGAATGAAAATGACAATGATGAAGATGATAATGGAGAGTCAGAGAATGAAGATCAAGATCAACCTGAGTCGGCAGAAGAACAAACTGAGGGGAATGAAGATAATGTGGGAGAGAATGATGTTAGTGCTGAAGAAGAATTTATTTTTCGAGAGATTCCTGGAGTGACTGCCAGCGCTGAAGTCACTGAAGACACTGATGATGATATTGCCGAGGGTAATATTGATCAAGGTAACTAAGCAGGGAGAATAATTTCTTCAGTTTTTATTATTTTCTCGGCCTTCTTTTTTTAAATTTTTTAGCTTAGCTCGTGTATTTCCGTTTTACAACACTTCGTGTATTTTTAGATGAAGAAGATGATATCAATGAATCAACAGGGCAAGGTTCTGATGCAGGGTACTATAGTGATAACCAAGATGACGATGATGAAAATGATGATAATGATGATGATGACGGTGGTGATGAAGGTGATGATGACAAAAGTGAAGAAAGAGAAGATATTAGTCTGGATAATGAAGACGATTTAGATAATAATGAAGAAGACAATGATGATGGTAATGAAGACAATGACAATTCTAGGGAGAATGACAATGCAGATGAGGATGATAATACTGATGACAATGATGATACTCAAGATGCCGAAAGTGCAGAAAACGACATTGACAAAGATTTCAGCATGAGGGGGGATCAACCAGGAAATGATGGAGAAGAAGAAGAAGATGATGATATACAAGAGGACAATGATGTGGATAATGATGATGACAAAAGAAATGTTGATGACTATGAAGAGGTAATAGCTGAACGCAACTTTGATTCTTTAGATGCTAGCCCAGTAGCAGATGAGGACGATGCCTCAACAGAGCAACAACTTGAGGTGAGGTGGATTGGCACCTCCAGCCATGGTGTGCTGTGTGATTCCTCGCTCACATTAAAAATTTGTTTGATAGAACTAATCAACCAGTCTGAGATATGTTAGGTGGTTTAGGCATGCCTACTCAAATAATCATGACATAATCGTGTTTTGCTGGCATACCGTAGCTAGATGTTTTTATTTCTTTCTGTAATGTGTGTGTCTCTTGCCCACCCCGCTGATGCTGCTGACAAGCCACTCAATTAATTCATAATAACATTCACTTCTTACTCATAACGATTTAAATTGTTTAGTTATTAGCTTCTGCTGCTTGTGCATAATATGGATGAACTTTTGTTCCACTTGTGGTTTTTCAATTTCAAAACTCATGCATAAGCATTGAAAATGGTTTAGTTTTTTTGGCTGTTTTCTGCACTGTCTTGCATTGATTGTCAACTATCTTGTGTTCTGTTGTAGTCCGATGATGACTTTGAAGAAATTTTGGATGCTCCAGAATCTGCTGATCCAGAAAAATCCCAAGAGGAGAGTGAACCCTTGGAGCCTATAGGACGTGAGTGTCAGAATTAATTAAGATAAGATTTATCATTATGTGCTTGTCATATCAAGCTGTTCAACATGATGCTCATTTATATAGATATATTTTATTTTTGTCTTTTTTTGAAAATTGGATGAAGCTATTGTTTTCTTTTTTCTTGGTTTTGAAGGCAAAAAATTGATCTGGGTTTGTACCTATGTACATTAAATTTCACGTTTTTATTTGTATTTACAATTTCCTCTGTGCATTTGGAGATGTCATAAAATAAGACACCCTTTTAGTTTAATCAGTAGGTCTTTCATACATGTTGACAGTGCACTGTATTTACCATTATTAGTTTTTCCAAGTTAATGTTGCTCTCTGAATGTCTTTACTTCCTATTATATCTTGAATTGTGTTTAAATCGCCCCCTTTCGTCTTCTGCATATTAAGTCTTTGTTGTTGGTGTGTTCACAGTGGCGCTTAAATTTGGTGTTGGGATTGCCATCATCATTGTGGCCCACGTGGTGTTGGTTAGGAAATGGAACGAAAGCGGTCGGTATAAGTGGGCCTATCATTGTTGCTTATGCATTGTGTGAACAAACCTCGCATTAACACATTGGAAATGAAACCCAGCTACATCTGTTTCCTTCTTTCTTCAAAGTGCATTGTTTATTGTACTGTCAGCATGTGTGTAGATAGTAGATTTCATTTCTTAATCAGTTGAGTAGCTCCTTTCTTTGAGTATTGTAAGCTGTTCATATTCAATTCATATTTTGTTATTAGTACTTAAGAATGCACCATAGAATGTTAGGTATTTATCCCAACTATTGTACTATTCTTTGCAGCATTAAGTGTATAAATCAGATGTTAAGAAATTTTTTAAAATTATTCCTTTTGATCAAATTTGTGGTTTGTGAAGAAGTGCTTTGAGAGAAAGGGGCCTGTTCTTTTCAGTCTAATGTGTTGCTAATGTACAATATGTCAATGGAAACACTGCCTAAAAATTGCTTGGAAAGGAGTTACAGCCATCGTTCCTCAACCATGTAGCATCCTCCTGTCCTTTTTATTGGGAAATTTTTCGCTTTTATAACTTACGCTTTTTGTGTTTCTCCCACTCTTGCAGTATATACTTTCTTAAATGTAACTTACTGGGTTTTTCTTTTAGAAAAGTGGCCTTTCTAGAGATGACTGGATTTTGCTTTGTTCTTGATAAGAGTGTGTTTGGCTCCCAATTAACAGGTGCCTTCTTCGTCTAACACATAATAACTCGCTACAACCAATAGCATAGTGAGTACATATTTGTAAATTAGTAAAACAAGAGAATCTTTGTGTTTTATTCAATCATAGCAGTCATTAAAATTGCAACTTTTTTTATCAGATGAAACAGGAGCCACAACTTTGCAGCCTACCACTCCATCAACAGCAGTGCTAAGAAGGCAAACATTAATTCCTCCCTCTGTAGCCTCCTCAAATCTCATACCTGAGCCAGATGATGTGGAAGGTATATTTAATGTCTAGTTTATTCAACTTTCTCAATTGGATATGGTTCAAGAAATATGTTTGCATTGTGCCCTAGAATATTCCGATGAAGAGTTTGATGATGAGGAGGAAGATGAGGATCCTTTGCAAACCAATATGGTGAGGGAAGCTCTTGTTCGAAAGTATGGAAAGTTATCACCGGAAGGAAGCGTAGAGGAGGACGATGTTGATGAAGAGGAAGAAGAAGAAGAAGAGGAAGATGAAGAGGATGTGGAAGATGAGGATGAGGGTCCAGAGCAAGAGTTTGACGTAAGCATCGTTTCATAATGCACATTTTTAAAAATATGATTTTGAGATGGTTTTGGCTTTTGTATGTGGTTCTTGTTTCTCATAAAATCTCTCTGATTTTGTATGGTAGAAAAAATTTGGGTATAATGTTGCAACAATACCTAAAAAACATCTGGATCAAGTGGGAGGAGATGATGATGAAGATGTGGAAGATGAAGAGGAGGAAGTTGGAGATGAAGAGGAAGAAGAATTAGAAGATGAAGAAGAAGAGGAATATGTTCCACATGCTCATGACCCTTGGAAAAGTTAGTCTCTCAGGCAAAAGTGTTAATACATATAGGTATTAGTTACTGTATTGTGTTTAATTTTAAGCATTAGACACTCTTTGTGTGAGTTGCATTATTCTCATTGTGTTGTGATTATTTGGTAAAAAGAGAGCGCATAAGTACTGGTACCAAGTCATTGACTATTAGTATTTAAAATAAATGAGCATCATGTTGGGAGAATTGTCACAAAATCATTAAGTCCGTGTGTTAACTTACGGGTATCTTGTTTGTCCTCCCTTTAAATGATAATCACTGATCCTACAGATATCAGGCAGGCTCAAGAAGACTCTGAACCAGAAATTTCAGATGGTGAGGAAATTTCAGATGATGAGAAAGCTCCAGTTCTAAGGAGGACTGGTGGACCCAAAGAGGCAGATGAAGAGTCTATGTGGCCAATGGGGCCAGACTTCCCTTCAGAAACCACCCAATCATCCAACTCCAATGTGAGAAGATTTTTTTGTGAAACTCAATTAGAACAATCATGCCTATTGGTATTGCTTAATTTTTACTCATTTTTTTACCTTTTTTTTATTTTTTTTTTAGAAAGAGGACCGTAACTTTGATGCACTTGAGGCACAGTTGGAGGAGGTGAGTTGCTGTCATGAATAACTTGTAATTTTTATTACGGCAGGGTCCTTAAGCTAGCATCTGCTGCAGACTTTTGTCTCTGCTAATGATCTTGTTTTGTGTATCCATATTTATGGATTCTACCCTTATGTAGGAATTCATCATGTAACCAGTTCCTATGCACCCACTTTCCTTTACCTCTTTACAGTCATCTCAAAACCCTCCCAGATTTTTGCTTTGTAGTGTTCTGCTACTTAATAAGTTTTCTAAGAAATTTCACATTTAAAACCAATTTTTATTAGCTTATGTTGTAGAGCATGATGAAAATGAGTTAGCATGTGTGAATTTAATAACTGAGTTTATGGTTATTGCAATTTTTAGATCCTCTCATGCATTCAGCCTGGTTTAGCTCTTGTTTATGTCAGAGTAGTATTGTCATTGTCTAGGACTAGCTTTCTGCCCTAAATCTGTCTTTTTCTAATGAAACCAAACAAAAATTTTTTTAAAAAATTAGCTTTGTGAAATTACACAAATGTAGCATACATTCTAAGGTGTTTGTTCTGTTTAGAAAATAATGAGTCATAAATCTATGCAATGACAACCACAGTTTCTTCTATTAGCACCCACAAAACATCCTTACTTTCTGTAGGAGGAAGTGTGCTTTTCATTGCCTGATATCAGCTTTATTTTTCGTTATTGTTACTAACAAGTGTTTGAATTTTTCCCTTTCCCCCTTCCCTTTATCCTTCCCAATGTTGCCTTTTATTTCATACTTTGAAATGCTTTTGCACCTCATCTGTTACTGAACTGTTTTTAAAATACCTATTTGCAATCAAATCAAAATTGGCAACCTAACATGTCAATCTCACTCTCCCTCTCTCTTTTTTCTTTGTGGTTTTTAATTTGGCATCCCTTGAAACTACCACCCATTCCTTTCCTTCCTGCACAATTACCTATGCAGAACCCACAAACAGCATTGCAACAAGTGAATAGCCTTCTTGCTGACACTCCAGAAGCAGTTGACCTCTTATCTCTTCAAGCCCGAGCCTTGGACAAATTAGCTGAGCAGAAACACAGTAATAAGTTACTGGAAGAGGCAATTGGAGCTTACCTGTCCTTATTGCAAAGGAAAGATGTCAGTGATCACTTGTTTTTGAAAACTGCAGATCGCTGCATTAACAGAATGAGATTTAGAGGTAAATTAAGATAAAATCTACTTTGCAGTTGTGTTAAATTAGATGCTTTTATGCTTCATTCCAATGATTTTGTTTCTTGTTACAGGACAACATGGTCAGGCCATAACTGTCCACAAAATGTTAATAACAAGATTTCCAAAAGATCCGAAACATCGCAATGACCTAGCTGTTACGTACCTCATGGTGGGAAGGTATTGGTTTTGTCATCATAAACTTTATGACTTGGAAAGCAGATATTACCATTGTTATTATTCAATATTTTATTTTAGGATCCCTTCAGCTAAACAGCTTATAAAAGAAACGCTGCAGTTGTGGCCATCTGATGGTTTTGCTCTGGTTCACTATGGATTTATTCTAAAAACGAGTGAAAACAATAACGAGGATGGATCTCGTTACATGCAGGCAGGCATTGATTCAAATGAGCCAGGAACTATGGATGCTCGATTTCTATTCCATCTGGGTGATGCTTACAATCGTATTGGATTACCCAAACGTGCGGAAAAGGTATTTGGGTTGACACGAGGTATCTTTATCTTTCTCTTATGCTTACGGTTTGATCTTGTCTTGAACTATTATTGTATTGTCCAGGTATACCAGCTTGGAGTTGATAGGGGACTCTTTCGATCAAAATTTCAGAGGTCACTGTATAATGTAGACAGGCTAACAGCCCGGCCATGGTGGACACTTGAACAAACAACTTATGCAAGAGAATTGAGGTTTGTTGAATATTTCTTCTTCCTTGACTGCATTTTGATTCAATGTAATTCTATATGCTTTCATTTATTATCACAGAAAGTTTGAGGAACATTGGAAGGAAATACGGGATGAGGGAATGGCGATATTGCAGTCCCATAGTGCAGCTAGTGGATTTAAGGATGAAGCAGAAAATTTACGAGACAAGGGTATTTGGAAACAACTGGAATTATATGCAAGAGGTAAGCCTGTTATAAAATTTTACTATTTTTTTTACAAAGTTTGATAGAGGGGAACTTAATATGTCGTTTTTTTGTAGGCCAACAAATAACATCAAATTGTAAAAGGGCACCAATCACATGCCGACTGATTTCCCAGTTCCCTGCTGCTCATGGCTGTCGCAGAGGGCAGGCGAAATTCAGTGTAATGCAGCCTGACACACATGTGTGGCCTCATTGTGGACCAACCAACTGTCGCCTTCGAGCTCACCTTGGGCTAGTTGTACCATCAGGCACTGCATTACGAGTTGGATCCGAGATAAGGTAGCATTCACCCCTCCAAACACTAGATCATCTTGGTAGTATATTTTCTGCCAAGTTTTAATTGATGTATTATTTTACTTTCTTTTCTCCTTTTGCAGATCATGGCAGGAGGGCAAAATGTTTGTGTTTGATGATAGCTTTGAACATGAAGTTTGGCATAACGGTACATCAACGCGGCTGGTTTTAATTGTTGATATTTGGCATCCAGAGCTGACTGAACGCGAGCAAAGATCTTTACCTGCCATTTAAAAATTTTACTTATTACGTGACTTCTGAACTGAAGTACATGTTATCAGCTCCTGAACGGTTTTAAAGGCATGCTTTTGGCTTAATAGTACATACTCCCACCAATATTTATTCCTGCATTGCATTTTGAGTTCTACTTTTACTGGATTGTGATAACTTTTTTTGTTTGCAACTGTGCTTCAACAGCTGCACTTGGACATACTGCCCTCATTGTTAAGAGGGCTAAAGAGTAGTGTGCTGATGCCCAACAAACTATTCATTTTCTCTCAAATTTTCTGCATCCCGCTTCTATAGCAGATGTTGGAAATCCTTCACTAGTCTGTACCAAATAAACTTTTTTGTTGAAATTTATTTTTTATTTATTTATCTTTTTTTCAATACTTTGTCATATGTATTTATTGGAGTTGATTCTCCTCTATCTGATCTTTTCTGACTGTTCAAATGTAGTTGATTAGGAGTTTATGCCTTTTCCCCTGAGGTCAGAAGGGTAAAGATTTTATTTTGTAGATCCTGTAGTGTGATAACCTGTGATATATGTTGTAACAACAATGTGAAAGTGTTTTGAGGAGAGAAGAGTTTCCGCCTAAAATCATATGCTGTTCATTGTACTGTCATCGACAAAAGTAAATGTGATTAGGTTTTTAACTTACAAAACAAACAAAACAAGAAACAAAATAGTTGGTGAATATGTATTGTTTACATTGTATCATCAGTTTAACAGGGGTGTCGCATATTGTTGTCATTGCAGTGCCTTAAAGCATCATTAGTTTTTAAGGTGTGAGTGTGGTTTTTCTTTGTATATATAAATGTATCTTTGAAAAATTGCAAGTGACACATTTATTTTTTCTAGCTATGGAAAATTGAAGAAAGATGAAATGAACTTAATGTTTGATTATGTGTGAAATGCTGTTTGAAGTATCATCCATAGGGTTTGAGCCTAGACTTTTGTGAAAATTAATAAGTGTGAGAGTGCAATCAAAAAAATCCAGTTGTATGAAGTCTGCTAAAGAGAACTCATGAGAGTACTACTAGCTTTACCAGACCTAAGTGCCTTTAATGTATGTAATGGTAAAAATCAAACTTCGAATGCCCAATACTGAGGATTACCAATAAACATCTGATTTTTATAGAAAATAAACGTTTTATATCTGCTTATGTTTCTCTTTGTTATTGTCCCCTCTGGCTGATTCAAGTTGTTTGCTGGGGAGGTCACTGAGTCAACCTATTTTTGGATCACCTTAAATTTTTGTCAACCTATCTGTATTTGACCAAAATAATCCACAAATGAGTGGTTATAGAGCTGAATGGTTAGGTTTCAAAGGTAGGAGGTTCTTTACCCTCTTTAAGTTGCTGTTGTCATTTTCCACAGAGGGGAAGTGGTTGAAGAGCACCTTCATTGGATACTCATTCTGAGTCATTACTCATACCATGAATGCTATGTAGTTTACACAGGGCAATATTTTAAAAACAAGTTATTAAATTGATTCATTTTATTGCTACAGACACCAGAAGAGGTATAGAAGCACCACCTTCTTGACGAATGCCATTACACAGAACACACTTACATACAAATGTTTATTATTAGAGATCAGATCTAATCCTACTCTTTCAATACAGATAATGAAAACAAAGAGACCTCACCAATGGAGAAGCCTTGTTACAGTTACATGCTGAAAAAAGCCTTGGTTAATGTAAGAGATATTTCTGTCAAACTCATGGCAGAAACAACAAGGGAATGATTAAACAAATGCATTGGATGAAAAATGACCAGCCACGCATGCAACTAAACTACAAATTTCTAGCATGATTAATTTAGTGCAAAATTCTTCACTCATGAATTTGTAGAATTTTACTAGACAAGCCAAGTATTGGCATGTTGTTCTTAGTCTTATATAGACCATTGTAAACTAAAAGGAATACAAAATTGAAATCAAAACTTCCAATGAATTGTAAAACTAGAATACACATCTAAAAGTTATAAAACAAATAAAAATTCTTTGTAAGCTTCTGCCCGTCAGCTTGACTGAGCAGCAAGTCACAAAGTTAAATTGGAAGGTTAACATTCAGTTCATAGATGCCACATAAACAAGCATGGCTTAGAGTACCAACCCTGAACACTAGCAACAAATTCAGAAAGTAAATTAACAAACAAACAACAACTTACTGTATATTAGTAAATTAATATTTTAATCAAATTTATTTAAATAAATCACAAAATTGTTGAAGTCTATGTTTATGAAGTCTCTTTGGCAAGAAAGAGTTAACAAAAACAATAAAATTCTTACAGCTAAACAAGTAGTACAACTTGTCTAAGATAAGAACGGTCAAACCACTGATCCTTGTTTCATAATACATCTTAATTAGGTACTGTATTGTTATCATTATTAATGGTTACCAAAAATGGATTCAAAGACATGATGCAAAGGGCAGTCCACGTTATGTCTCAAATATTCCACAATAAATTCAAACACACATACTCTATTTGAATAACAGCAAAATATGAAACCCAGAATAGATTCGAAGAAAAATTTGGCACCAGAAATATTAGAATCATTTGGCACCAGCCACTGTAAAGTGGGCTCAGAACAAAGTAAGAAATGAAATTGCAGCTTCTTCCAGCAGAAAATACGTAAGTGATTAAAGACAAGCAATGATTAATCCTTCTTCTTCGGCTTCTTAGGATTCCTGCTGCGGGACTTGGCCTTGCAAAGAGGGCAGATTGGAGCATTACGATGAATTTGCTGGTGGCATGATAGGCAGGACTTCATTGGAGGAGGCTGTTGCCTGTGAAGCAAATAAATAGGATGATATGAGATTGGCGAGTTTAAACTGACAGATAGTGGCATAATGCAATACAAAGTCTGGTGAAAGAGATATACCTAAATGTTGGAGCAGGCCCTGGAGCTGGTGGCATTGGGCGGTTGTCTGCCTTGTTGCCTTGGACTAATTGCAGTGGCTGTTGAGGAGTAAGGAAACCAGCGCCAGGAGCATGGTGAGCAGAGTGGGGATGGTGACCTGGATGACTGTGAGCATGGGAGTGCATTGCAAGACTTGCCATGCTTGCTTGCTCAACATCGCGCACATCTGGAGCGCGCCAATCAGAAGTCTTGACATGTTTGTCAAAGTAGCTGTTGAAAGAGAGCAGGTCACATTAAATACTGGTCAAACATGGAGCACTATCAAGAATTAATAGAAAAGTACTTACTCAGGTGAAATGAGATCTCCTTCTTCCTCATGAAGATCTGGCAAGCGATCAAGGCCTAGGTACTCACGGCGTAGGCGATCAACATCATGTTTCAGAGGCCTATAATCATCATGAATACGCTTCGCAGTATCAAGTGCTCTGTTTCGCGACTCTTCAGCTTGTTTGATGACAGTTTCCATCTAAAATTGTTTCATGGTAATAGATCATAAGCATGAATGAGATACTTGAGTAAGTAAGTCAAACACTAAATTGAATTCATTCAAGGTGATGAACCTACAGCATTAATATCAGCATGAATTTGACGAAGTTCTTCGACATGCGCCATTTTTTCTTGCATTAGCATATCCATCTCCTGCTTATACTCAGAGAGACACTTTTCTTCAGCTTCAGTTGCTTCCACTTCATGCAAGATGCGCAGTTTCATTTTCTCCAACTGCATAGTCTTAGCTCTAAAAATATAAATACAGTATAATAAGAATATAAAAGGGGAAAAAAGGGGGGGTTTGCAAACCACAAAACCGTGTGGAGAGTAGTACTTCTACAGAGGAATGTTAGCTTTTGATGAAAATGAACTGCACTGAAATTATTCTGCTTGATATGCAAATGTAAACACAAAAATCGTGGACAAAAATATTAATAATAACAGATTTTATACTTCTCTTTTTTTCGACGATCAATCAAGACTACACCTAGCCGGCCTCTAGAATCCATTATTCTCGACGAAATATAATCTTACCTTACTTCCTTTAACGCCTCCAGTTTAGCGTAAATAGTACGCTCATCAGCGGATCCCATATTATTCAGCATTTCGACGAAATGTGTGAAATATCCTTCGATAAAAGAGGCTCTTTGTTTGTTTACCACCGACCCTTTTCGTTTTGACAGAAGCACGAAACAAAAATGGCGGCCAGTGTGACCGCATGGAGGTTCCAGGTGGCCGTGGTGAAGTGCAAAAGGTGTCGAGGTGCCGTGACATGGGCGGAGTAGCCACCTCAAGCATGACAAGTCTCTTCTGCAGTCACAAATTGTTTCCATCATTAAATTCGACATAATGTGACCACATCGTTTAAATTTTTATTGGAATTTTATGAGATAAATAAGCACGAAAGTGTCGCAAATTCATTATTTATGCATCTGCGTTGGCTAGCGGGTACATTGCGAACGAGGGAAATTTCTCTTTGTAATTCCCCACCGATCAGCTGGGCACAGAGGGCATGTTTATTTAGTTAGCTGATTCTGACAAATCTTAGTTGAAAGAGTTTTAATGATTTCTGAATTTAGTCATCAATTATGAGTGATTATCATGGACAGAATGGAAGTTAAGAGAGACATTTATCAACTATGGCTCCATTATAAGGCAAAGGTATTCAAGTATAGACAAAAACAGTTGTTGTCGTGTACATTAGTATTTTACAATTTTTAAACATAAATTCTTTTATAAATCAAGATTTGATGGTCTGAGGACGAATATATAACTGTGTTTTTGTGTTTCTGTGCACTGTCACACTCATAATATGCGTCCACATCACAATAAACATGACGATTGCAGTAGTTGACAAGTAGGGTTATGCTCGGTTGTCATTTATTAGCGGCATGAAATATCCCCTTCCTTTCATTACAGTTAAAGAAATGACTAAACCAACTAGTAACTTCTACTCCGAATTTGAATTCTGTTTGAAGTGCTCCCGCATATCTGTGTTAACCTCCATCTGAGTGTCTCCTAACCTGTTCTTATTTCAGGGGTTTTACCTTTTCCCTAAACCATTCATCACTCTTGACTCTTACTTGATGTTTTCTTCTTTTATCAGAATGAAGAAGATTATTTTCATCAATTTGTTCGAGGCTTCGTATCAATATGGGAAGAACAGTTGCAGTTGGATTGGTCATCCCTTCCAAATTGGACCGATATCCGCCCGGATGCTGGCCCTCACCTATCAAGACTACCAGAAGAATTACTTACTGCTGTCACCCAGTTCATGCAACAGGCCAAACAAGATACAGAGAGAGTAAGCATTGCGGAGCATGTGATCAAGTGGTTTGTAATTCACTGATACCCATGTAAAAATTATTATTTTCAGAAAACATTGAACTGTGGAACATTGTCAGAAATCGAACTGATCATCAATCTCCTTACTATTCTGGCGCGGAACTTGGATAACATTCCTCTTGTGGCTTCTTGTGATTATGTTTCCATTAGTATTGGCATGGCAGCTACAGTAATACACCAGGTGAACCCACTTTCTTAAAATTTTGCATATGTACCTCATTTACTTTGAAGCACCAGGTGATTTCAGTTTATTTTTATTGTTGATTTGCAGCTTGTTGAGGAAAGTGCTCACTTTGGAGAAGCAGGTGTTTCATTTTTTCTAACCGTTTGTCATCTACTAGAAGTTTTGTATGATCCGTACTTCACTTGGCGCCACTTTTTGCGTGGAAATGAGGCCAATTTTGAAAAGATTGCATTCCAACCTGCTCTTCTACATGTAGAAGTCATTCCATTTATTTATGGTGTGTCAGAATGTTTTTTATTACAATGATTCATAATTTGTTATAGTAATTATACCTTGTTTCATGTTAAATTTATAATTAATTTGTATCCCTCTTCTGTGCTCATACCCTAGATTGTTTTGAAACCAGCTTGATAGAGAGCTATCCTCATTTGGGCTCAGAACTTCTCCACGTTCTTGGTGCAGTGGTTTCAGGAGCCCAGGTACTGTATTATCATTATTTGTTCTCCCACTTCCTCCATCCCTTAACCATGTAAATCTAATACATTAGTGCCTCTCTGGCTCTTTCACTTTCATCATGAATCTAGGTCCCAGTCGCTCACTAGAACTGAGTGTCATGTTTTTCTTTCCTAACACATTTCGGGGTGTAAAATAGTCTATCCCTCTTGAAGCACTGTTGAGAGACGTTTGTGGCTCGTTTCACAATCCTGCTTCTGCACTTTGGTTTTGCAACTTATCTTTCCCTCCGCCCCCTCCCCCCTCTATCTCTCCTTTTCTATATTTCCTGGCATGGGTGAAATGACTTTCATTTTTGGGCAACTGCACACCTGTATCTGTTACTTTTTTTTCACAGCAAATTCTTTTCCTGCCAGATTTTTGTTCACTTTTATTCTTCTATACTGCACTTTTGGCTTGAAGCCTTGGGATGTGTACTAATTCCTCATTATTGTTAACACTTTTAATTACTGACTGAGGGGAGGGTCTTTTTCACTTGGCAAGTGGCATGTGTTGCAGGGACAGCTCTCAAATTAATTTTATACCAAGGGAAACCGGGTCTTATTTTAGGTGTTAAGATTCATATGTCCTCTACAAAACAAAATAATTGTAACAAAATTAACATTCTTTGTATTTTGGTGGTGGTGTCTAACATTTTGGTGTTGGTATTTTCTCTTTAGAGCATTATTGTGCAATTGGACCCTGTATTCCCAACTCTACCTTCTTTATCAGAGCAAGCGCCTGTTAAAAATGATAAAGGCACTTTGGTACCTAAAGGACTGTCAAAGGCACGTTCCAGTTTTTGCCTTAGTGACGGGGTGAGTCAGCTACATACCTTTGTTGGAGCAGAGCCTTTCCTCTATTAATGCATGTTTGTGGTGTGGCATGGATTCAAAAGTCTCTTGAAGCAGTGCACTGTTTCTGAAGTGGAGTTGCCACTCTACGAAACATAACATGGAGCTTCTGAAACATAGTATAGTTGTATGTATGTATGTGTTGTGTTGTGTGCTTTAATTTTCTACCTCATTTATCTGTTTGTCTTTATTATCATAATCATGAATTGATTCAATGTCTTTCTTTAAAAAAGAAACAAAACGTGTATTGTATGTACGTGCTTTTACTTGATTTATTTACACTTATAAAAGTGCTTTTCTGTAAGTGTTTTGGCGTCAGCTCTAGTTAATGGAAGCCCTGATTTAATCTTAGTTTATCTTAACTGTTTGTGTTCAAATTACTACTTTATTAAAATTCTTATGTGTGTATGGTTTCATGAAATCCATTTGCTTAGTTTCAAAATGCTTACAAGGCTGGTATCATTGTCAAATGTTTATTTTCAGTTCTAGTTTGACTTGTGGGTAGAGATAAATTTTTAAATTTTTAAGTGTATGATATTAGTAACTCTAGTTAATTTCTGATGGTTTATTGAAGTACCTATTTATTTTGGACTGCTTGTTTACCAAATGTTAAAGTCTTATTTTTCTGTCTTATTTTTTTAGCACAATGCTCTCCGTGCAATATGCCCAGCTACTGTTAATATGATTGTTGCAATTGTTGACAATCCGGTCACCCCTACAGAGTTGAGGTACCATGCTCTGCAATGTTTTGTACTGATGGCACGAGTACTTCTCAAGTCAGCGCCTGATCAGGTATTTTTCAAGAGTTTACTACAATAGTCATGTCATTACATTTAAATTGACACAGTATTTTATCTCGTTTCAGCGCCAAATAGAGGTGGGAACAATGGTCCAGCAGTTACGAGAGGTACTACTCCGTGGGGTCAAAGAAGAAAATTGGACTCCAGACGGTGTTCATGCATTTACTCAAATAGTCTCAGCTATGAGAGCTTTACTGGCACGACCCGTATCACTCAAAAGGACCCAAGCTCACAACATATCCTACACTCATGCTCAGGCATTGCATGCACACATGCAACAGCTGTTGATAGATTGCCAAATACCAGATGCCCTTTTACTTCTTTTGAAGGAATCTGCTGTAAGTCCAAAATTAGGCAAAAATCTAAAAATTTATGTCCCTTTTTGACCTTTTATTTTCTGAGAACAATATTTGTCTTTGGTTTTTCAGGGCAAGAATGTGGAGAAACAGTCAATGGCAGTGGAAGTGGTGCGCATTGTTTCTGCCCTGTTGGCTGGTTCAAGTACAGTTAAAGAGCGCCTGTTAAAAGCAGATGTATATTCGCGCCTAGCAGAAGCTTTGAGGTCTCTTGGTGATCCTAAGAGGCCCTTGCTGCGTGCATTGCTTGCGTTAGCCTCTGAGGAGGAAGGTTTTAGTTCAACTGAGTCGGAGAGCCCTCTTAAAGTGCGTTATAAACTGCTTGCACAAAAGTGTTCCTCTTTTTTGCCTAACAATTTAACTCATAATGGGTGATATTTCAATTTCTAGAATGGTCATGCACTGCTTATATTGCTCCGATGGCTCCCCGCCGTTCCAGATGTGGATCAAGTTTGGCTTGCTGAAAATATTGCTAAATTGTGCAATGCTTCTCTCCAAAGGTATGAATTTTGATTTAAATGTGATCTGCAGATGTGTTTAAATGGCTTGTTTCTTAATAATTGCATATTTTTAAAAAAATTTATATTGGTGTGACTTAAAACTTTTGCCATGATAAGAAAATATAACCCTTGTATTGGAAGAAACTTACATATTCATTTATGTTTTACAGCCGTGTTGTTTGCTCTGCTCACAAAGTCATCCTGGAAATCTGCTCCCTGATGGAACAGCACACTTCCTTATCAAGGGCAGCTGTGGGCGAGCTCCTGGGACTTCTCGAAGGCCTTGCGGCGCATTGCATCACTCCAATTGAACTCAAGAGCATATTTCTTCTGTTAAGGGAAGGGGATCCAGATGAAAAGGTAATCCCTATTTTTTTTTGACGAGACATCTTTTTAGTTTCTGTTGATCATAGTCTTATTGCCAATCCTGTTTCTAGTGCCCATATCAGAGCCAGCTCTTGCACGCAATCTCAGCTGTGGCTCGTCGTGGGGAGCATAGTGACTGCCACTACTTCTTTGACATTCAAAACGACACAGATGGACTTTCAGTTCCTGGAATACGAAAATGGCCTGGTGCAGGGTATGGCTTCAGCTTCCATTGTTGGGTCAAACTTGACAGTGAGACTGAATGTGATGCTCCAAGCCCACCTAGTCCTGCAAGTCGTACTGCTAGCCCCAGTCCTGTGGCCAGTCCAGCTAGTGTAGTGAGCGGCCGCAGCTTGCTTAGTCCCATGATGGGTGCGAGTCCATCTGCAACCACCCCAACAAGTCCTGCTTCAAGTCATGCGAGCAGTCGAGTGGATGCAACTAATAAGAGAAGACAGCTTTTCAAGTTGGTTTCAACATAGTTTTATTGAAGTAAATAGTGTTATTACTGAGCATAATTTTATGCAAGCTTATTTTCCTTCTCAGCTTGCTCACAAGCAACAATACAGGGGTGGAAATTTTCTTCCGAGCTGATGGTATGCTGGTCGTAGCCATAAGCACCAAAAAGGAGTTCCTGACTGCCACAGTTCCAGACATCCCTCTAGCTGACAACAGGTGGCACTGCATTGGAGTTTGCATAACAATGGCAAGGTAAATGTCTAGAATTCTTTTGGGGTTCCGTGTCCATCCAAGGCCTTCAATGGCCCACTGACAACTTTTTGTTTCCAGGCGGCCTTTCGGGCACAACCAGATTCAAGTATTTGTAGATGGTTCTCAACGTTTGGCGGCATCCATCAAGTTCCCCTCCATGAGTGAAGTGAGTACAGAGGAACGTGTAAAAACCCATGAACACAGATAACAGGTTGACTGAGACGAATCCCTTCCCTGCTTGCCGCGCAGCCCTTCACGTACTGCACCATCGGGTCCGTGGTCCAGCGCGGTGCCGCCACGCCGGGCGGCCTGTCTGGCGGTGACGGCACGTCGCGCCGCTCCCAGGCGCAGAGCATGTTGGAGCGGGCGGCGGGCGCGGGGGGCGGCCTGTTGCCCTCCTTCATGAACCAGGTGCCCAGCTACCTGTCGCTGCCGCTGCCGCTGCGCAACTCGGCGCCGCTCGACCCCAACGTCAAGAGCTTCCAGGCGGGGCTCCAGGACGCCGTCTGGGGGTCCCCGGGCTGCCTCCGCGGCCAGCTCAGCACGGCCGCCCTGCTGCAGGACGCACTGTCGCCGCCACACGCCCGCCTGCTGTACCAGCAGGGCCCCAACTGGAGGGGCCTCTTCTCCAGCGAGGAGGGCGCCGACCTGAGCGAGCTCGTGGCCAGGCTCGTGTTCTGCTTCTCCCCCGCCGCGTGCTGGGACAACCTGTGCCTCGACCTGGCCCCCGGCAACAAGTACGACGGCCACGTGGTGGCCACGCAGTGCTCCACCCTGGGCATCAAGGCAAGGCGCCCCACCCACCTTCGAAACGTGGCACACTGTTGGCCTGTTGCTCACCATTGTGATTCCCTTTCAGACCGCCGTCAACGGCATCGGCGGCATCCACGTCGTCTTCCCGATCCTGGAGCAGGCCGCCCGGGGCAAGGTCGACGAGGAGGTGCCGGTCATCCCGTCCTCGCACCAGCGCCTGTCCATCACCGCGTCGGGCACCGGGACCATCGTCCACCCTTCTGAGGACTTGGACGACTGGGAGGTCCTGCCGTCCAGCTCGTATGCAGGTGAGTGGAACAGGCGTACCTTGTGCCGAGCGCCTGCGAAGTCGGGGGTAGGCAAGCCCGCAGCACGGCCCTGTTGTGCTGTACGGCCTACCTTGCCCCTGCCGCCCAAGCGCCTGCGAAGTCGGGGGTAGGCAAGCCCGCAGCACGGCCCTGTTGTGCTGTACGGCCTACCTTGCCCCTGCCGCCAGCGCCTGCGATCTAGCAGCCCAGCACGTGTGCTGTACGGTCTACTTTGACTCTCTTATTTTTTTAAGACTACGCCTTTGCTTGATTACGTTCGATACTATCTTATCTGTGTATTTTTGTTTCTTTGTAGACTGGAAACTGGAACTGAACCCTGTATCTGGGTTTTTATCATATCTGCGTAACTTGCTGTTTGGATCCCCACTCAATCAAGAGCAGCTACTGCGCAACCATGGAGCTGCAATTTTAGGCCACTTGCTTAGTGAAGTCAAGCCTTCACTTTTGGATGTGAATGTGTTAATGGTTGCACAGCTTCTGCTGGAGATGGCTCGAGATGCTGGTAATCCAGCACTGTTGCGAGCTTTGCATCAACATGTTCTCTTTAACTTCAGTATCTGGTCCCGTGGACCATTTCATATCAGAATTGGGCACATTCAGTATATTTCTTCTGTGATCAAGGAAGACCGAAAGGCTTTCAGAAAACGATATGGTGTTCAATTTTTGTTGGATGCTATTCGTACTCATCATTCCGCACCTGGAGACTTGGTTGGGGCCGATGATGGCCGAGCTCTAAGACTGGCTATTCTACGGCTTATAAGATACTACATTTCAAAGGAAGTCAACATCAAGGAAGTCACAGCAATCATAGGATTCTTGACTTCTGTAAAAGAAGAAACTCTTGTTCTGGAGGTTTTAGAAATGCTCATTCTGCATCTTGAGGGTCAGTGCAAAGATCAGTTGTATCTTTTGCTGTTTGAACCTCATGCTGCAGACCTTTTGTATTGCCTGCTCATAGATCGTAGATTTAGTATGGACCTGAAGCAAAAGGTTCTTAAGGTGAGTTTCATTTATAGCTGACATAATTTTAGCAAATATATTTTGGGAAACATTAATAATATTGTATGATTGTTTCAGTTAACGTCAGTATTATTGCGGACTGATAGGGTTTATGAACCGCATAAGAAACGCTTACGCCTGCATGATAGTGTCCTTGGATTAGTTGGAGTAGGCATTGGTATGTACCCAGGCCTGATAGCTCTTCTTGGTGATCAGGAGCTGTCTATGGAAGTGGCTGCAATGCTTCTTGATCAGATGTTGCTCACAGGTGGGTCAGGAAACTTAAGTCAAAATAATGCAATTTGACTGTAAAATGTGCATTACATATGATTTTTTTTCTTGCAGAAACTCCAGCAAGCTATGCTGCAGCCCTTTCTCTTTTGCATTCCCTATCATTAGCTAAATTGGAAATAAAAGTTGAGGCTGCGAGGAAGATTCTTACAACACTTTTCATGCGACCAAATGCCCCTGCAGCCCTAGCCAAACAAGTTGGATGGCAGGACTGTGTATCTCGGCTCCTTGTGAAGCGACCAATATCGACGGCTCCCACTTCCGTCGAAGACTCTTCTCTCCCAGATTTGATGACTTTTGATGAAGACGTCTTTGAGATGGATATGGACAAAGTTTCCCTCATTCATCGCTCACACTCTCCATCATCTGTTTCAAGAATATCAGCATCGGTCTCAGATGCTGCATCCATGCTTGAGAGTGAAATAAAAGGTTTGTAGTTTAACGAAGTGTTTATTATGGGCCAAATTATTTTCTCAAGAATATCTTGCTGATCCGTCAATTTAAGAAAAATATGAAAAATGTTTGTGAACTTAATTGCTCGATATGTTTTCAGACGTGGCCGAGTCAGTGACGATCGCCATCGGGGACAACATCCAGTTCGCGGCGGACAACATCAGCTCCGTCATGGCCTCGGCGTACTCGGTGTTCCGCCAGAAGACGGTGGAGATGCAGGAGAGCCTGGAGGGCCTGGGCGAGAGCGCCGTGCACCGCCTCAAGAACGGGCGCAGCGTGTCCAGCGTGTCGTCGCTCGGCCACGGCAGCCTCGGCGAGCGGGCCTCCATCTCGGCCTCGACCGACTCCGTCTCCACCAGCCCCTACGCCTCGGCCTCGGCCAGCCCGGGCAACCGCTCGCGCTGTAGCAGCAGCTCCGAGGACATGTCGTCGGCGGCCGCCGAGAGCAGCAGGGCCTCGCTGTCCACGACGTCCGTGACGGACGGCGCCGCGCAGTCGGGGCCCGCGCCGCCGGACGCGGACAGCGACGCGGAGGAGCAGAGGGACGCCCTGCGGCAGTGGGTGGCGCTGGACGCGGACCGGCAGGGCGACCGCGAGGAGGACCTGTGCTACTGGGTGCTCAACATCTTGTTCACCACGCTGTGGCGCGGCGTGGAGACGGGCAGCAGGGACTGCTGGCGGGTGAGTCCAGATGGAGTCAAGTGCTCCTCACTGCGCAGCCTGCAGGCCAGCCTGCAGGTCGCTGGCTGTAACCGCAGAGAGCACGCCGCGGACCGCGGAACGGTTTGTTGATTGTTTTCGTTTCGGTTGACGCAGGAGCGCGGGCAGGTGATGGCCTGCATCAACCTGCTGGGCCTCAACAACGAGCTGCACGGCTCGCACCTGCAGCTGAAGCTCCGCCTGCTGGAGATGGGCGTCCAGGCGGCGCTGTCCGACCTGCGCGAGTCGGCGTCGACGGCCACCTCCTCCAGCGGGGCCGCCCCCGCCGCACCGCACGCCACGGCCGCCGACAACGCGGCGCAGCTGCTGCGCTGGGTGTACGACCTGGTGGTGCTGGACCCCAACCCGGACTGCTCCAAGAAGGTGTCGACCAAGGTGAGCGGACGGCCGGCCGAACTGTTGGTGTAGTGTCTCCGCCTGGCCGCGGTCTGGCTCGCCGCGGCGTCGTTGCGGTCCGCGGTTTAGCTGGCCGCGGTTTAGCTGGCCGCGGTTTGGCTGGCCGCGCCGCGCCGCGACGCCATGGCGACGCCGCGACCCACACGGCCGGCCCTGCACCGCAAAGTGCCGGCCCGGATGTTAATGTTTTCCTGCCTTCTGCCTGCCGCAGCTGCTGGACGGCGTGCTGGGGCTGCTGGACGCGCTGCTCGTCTTCCACGACGGGCCGCAGGACGAGTGGACGGAAATGGCCAAACTTTCTTTCGGTAGGGTATCAGTCACCGACCGCCGCGCCATGCCTGGCCATGCACTGGCTTGCAAATTACGGCAAAAAATTTGAGGCTCAAAAGCGCGAGGAGAAGAAGTTGGCCTATTTTCTACTTTGATATAACGTTTCCAAAATAAAATTGCATAACTGGTTGAAAATTCAGGTGAGGTCAAAGCGTTCCGTTTTCCCCGCAGGCATTCTGCTAAGCTGCGCCGCGGGCCCCCAGCTGGACCTGTGCGCCATGGCGACGGCCAAGCTCCACGCGCTAGTGCAGACGCGGCGCCTCGCCACCCAGGAGGAGAGCGCCTACCTGCTGTACTACCTGGACGGCGTCGTGCAGGAGACCCTTAAAGGTACGGCCAATCTTTGCATTCCAGGCCTCGAGACGGGGGAAAAAAATGGTTCCCCGGCCGGGGATCGAACCCGCGGACGCAGCGCACGGAGGTCCATGACGTCACCCCGCCGGACGGCGGTAGGCCGCGGTAGGCCGCGGTGCATCTGCACGACCTGTCAGTCTCACGGCGCCTTTTTTCTGTTGGTTTCGCAGGGGAAAATCAGGAGCATTACTCATTCCTGATCCCCGTGGTGAAAGCGCTAGTGGAGAAGCTGTCGGCGCCGCTGTGTGTGCCGCAGTACTGCCTGGACATTCCCTCGACCGCGGGCCACGTCTTCTTCGAGGAGTTCCAGAGCTACAGCCAGGGCGGCCAGTGGCGCCAGTTCGTCGAGCAGAAGGTAGGCCAGCACGTCGCCAGCGCGCCGCCAGACTCATTCCGAGAGTCGTTTTCGTCGCTCTGTCGCTCTCGCACCTAGACGGGACACCCTACGAGTGCGAGAGGGGCAGAGCGACGAAAACGACTCTTGGAATCAGTCTGCAGGGACTACATTTGGGGCTCCGCCGCGGCGCCGGCCGGAACGGAGGCGGGAACGGGGAACGTCTGCGCCACTTGTAGCACCTGTAACGAATCCCCCTGCTCCACTCACTGTGTCACACACACAAGCACACACTCACTCAAACTGGCAGGACCCGCGACCGCCGTCCCCGCCCTTCCCCGCCCCGAGCATGGCACGCCCCTGTGCGTGAGCGGCGGAGCGGCGCGGCATACAAACTGTCTGGAAATGTTGATATGGTGGGCACTGGCCGGTGGGCCGGTGGGCCGCGCGAGGGTAGGCACGCCCAAAAGGCGCGCCGCTTGGCGTGGCGTGGCGTGCCGAGCGTGAGCTGTCCACTCCAGCGGCCCGGCGGTCCAGCATCGGCCAATTGGCCCAGAGCATTGGCCGAAAGCCGAGAGCCGAAAGCCGGACGGGCTTTCACTTGATTTGCATCCCTCGCGCCACGCGGCGTGGCCCATCCCATCCCCTTTCCGACACGTACTCGTGTGTCACCCGCTTTTCTTTGCCCGGACCCGTGCGTGCGTGCGCCGCGCGCGTGTGTGTGCGTGTGTGTGTGAGGGGACGTCGTCGTCGTCGCCGCCTCCAGCCGCTTGGCGCCGCCGCGGTGGCTCGGTTGCAGACTGATTCCGAGAGTCGTTTTCGTCGCTCTGTCTCTCTCGCGCCTGTGCGGCACGCCCCATGAAAGCGAGAGAGACAGAGCGACGAACACAACTCTCGGAATCAGGGAATACGTAGCGGTGAATAGTTGATTGGGAGCGCGTTCGCGGCGTTCGCGGCCGCCTTCCCGTTTTGCTTGCCGCTTGCAGTGGCGCCGCGCGGTCCGCGGCCACACGCAGTGCCGCAGTGCCGCAGAGCCTGCAGGCCGACTCCGAGGTCTTTTTCAGCGCTGTCTCTCTCGCACTCATGGGGCGTGCCGCGCAGGCGCGAGAGAGACAGAGAGACTCTCGGCATCAGTGTGCTGGAACGCGCCGCCGTCCTGCCCGGCCGAGCCGGGCCGATGCGTGCCGTGGACGCCGCTCGTTTCAATTTCTCTGCGAAATGACGAGTTTGTCACCGGCCTCCCCCCCCTCGGATCCTGGATCCGCGCCTGGGGGCGTGCAGCCCGATTCCCACCGCGCAGGGCTGCCTAGCCATGCCCCGGCAGTGAATGGCCGCGCCTCATTCACGGCGGCTTCTTAGCGCGGCTCGTTGCCGCTCAATGGGACGGGACGGGACGGGACCGGACGCTGCCTCGCGGACGGGCGTGGCCAAGCCGCGACGCCGCGACGCCGCCAATGGTCGGTAATGCGATGGTAATTGCGGAAAGTGTTTCTCCTTTTTAATTTTTTGCATGTGTACCGCCACAATGTGTGCAGCGGACTTGCCGGCGTACATGGGTCCCAGGGGCATGCGCGCCGCGGCGCTCGGCGCACGCTGGCGCACACCAACCTAGTTTATAAAGATCTCTCCACGCCTCCCCGCGACTCGGTACTCCGCAGCGCCCATGCGGTTTGGAGCGTTCCATGTTCCATTCCCATGAGACTGGAAGACCGGAGCCTTGACAATGCTCGTTGCCTCGCGTTGCTTCCTGCGGTGCAGCGGGGGCGTGGCAGTGGCGTGGCGGTGGCAGCGTGGCCGCGCCGCCTGCAGACTCGTTCCGAGAGTCGTTTTCGTCGCTCTGTCTCTCTCACATTCACGACGCGTCTCGTGTAGGTGCGAGAGAGACGGAGCGACGAAAACGACTCTCGGAATGGGTCTGCAGGGCGAGGCGCAGCACCGCGTAGCACCGCGTAGCACGCCTGGGACTCGGCATGTAGAGTAGCATCATTAGGCCCCGAGCACCGCGCAGCAACGCGCATTCTCCCAGTCTTCTCGATTTTCAAACTTTTTTGCCCCCCTCACGCCTTTCCTCGCTGGTTGAAGGCGACTTTCGGTGGCGGTGTGGAAAGCTGATCAGGGAGCGTGTGAAATGACATGAAGCACAAGTTTCAAATGATTAAGTTTTTCTTTTAATGTGACTTCCAGTCCAGAATGAGAACAGCAAAAACACAATGCACAGCCCTTGGTCGGGCCGGACGGCGACATAACATAATACTGTTTCCGTAGGAACATTTTTAATAATTACGATCGTAAAACACAACAATAACAAATAATTTAAAAAATCAACAACAACAAATAATTTACTTTTGTAGGATATCATTGACGCCTACAGAGCACGTAATTTGTCAAGTCCCTTAGGGACTACCTTGGTCGACGCGGGCTCTGTTAGCTGCAAAGCACCGCGTGAACTTAATGTTAGCAATAACAAATAAATAAATAGCAGAGGAACGGGAAGATGAGATAAGAATATTGATCGGGCAGGGACAATTTGATAGCAGCACAACAAATATAAATAACTTACATCCTTCAGTCACTCCAATACAAAGTCTAGCAGGCCCGATGTCGATGGGCGTGGCAATTGTAATAACAATAACAAATAATTAAAACAATAAATAAATAGACTTCTGTTTCTGTCTCCCTCTCGCGCGCTACAGCGGAGGGCCCCGCCGCTAGTGGATGGCACGCGACAGGCCCTCTTGAAAATTTGGCTTGTGGCATCGCGCGTTCGCCGGAAGTGTGGCATGTGCGGAGGCGAAGGGGCCGAAGGGACGAGCGCGGGGTCCGAGTCTCCTCCATGTAGACGTACACGGTTGACTTGCGCCCACGCTCGGCCCGCGGCTCAGCGGGCCCGTCGCCGACTCAACATCGACTCCCTCGGGCCCTCCGTGGGGCAGCGGGCCGAGGCAGGCGAAGGCACCCTTCGGGGCACCCCCTGGGGGCGCTGTTTTGTACTGGGGCGAAGGGGCCGCCCGGACGCTGCAGTCCTCTCACACTGTTCGAACCCTCCACGCGAGTCTGAGGGGACCGCAGCGCTGCCGGCCCACGGCGTCGACGACCCTCATCTTCATCTTCTCCTCGAGTCCTCGACGTCGGCGTCGCCGTCCTCGGCCTCCTCCGCGTCCTCCTCGGTGGCGTACGAGTCCCTCGCACTGGCGTGCTGCTGCTGCTGCTGCTGCTGCGCCAGGACCTGCGCCTGCTGCGAGTAGCGCTTGTTGGCCTGCTGCTGCTGCTGCGCGCGCTGCTGCAGCAGCATCTTGAGGTGCGCCTGCGTCGTGTCCTTCTTGCGCGAGTTGGACGAGTGGCGGTGCTTGCCCACCTTGCTGCCGTACGGGTCCTGGTGCTGCTGCGGCTGTTGCTGCTGCTGCTGCTGCTGCTGGTGGTGCTGCTGCTGGTGCTGCTCCTCCTCCTCTTGCTGGGGCAGCGGGTCGTAGTAGTTGGGGGACAGCACGTCGGACTGCTGTTGCTGCTGCTGCTGCTGCGGCGGCTGCTGGGGCTTGGCCTGCTTGCTGGAGTCGCCGTAGTACGCGTCCCAGTCCTGCGGGGACAGTCCCCCCGCGAAGTTGGGCGTGGTGCTCTGCGTGGGGGCGGCGGCCTGCACCTCGTTGGCGGCGTGGCCGTGGCTGGCCGCGTGGCTGGGCACGTGGATGGGGATGGACGCCGAGCTGCCCTGCGTGTTGACGCTGGCGGACACGGCCACGGACTTGTAGGGCACGAAGCCGAACACCTCGGCCGGCGCCTGGAAGTTCTCTGCCGCGGCGGGCTGCACCTGCTGGGAGTGGATGCTGGAGCCGGCCGTCTGGATGTCGCCGTACTGCTGCTGCTGCTGGCGGTAGCCCTGCGACTGCGCCTGGCCCTGCTGCCGCCCGTAGGCGGGGATGCTGCTGTAGTAGGTGGCCGCGGCGGGCTTGCTGCTGGCGTAGTTGGCCGAGCCCTCGTACGAGGAGTCTGGCGCGCGGTAGCCCGTGGTGAGCACCGCCTGGCCGTGGCTGGCCCCGGGCGACACGGACGCCGACGCGGGGCTGGACGCGGAGCCGTAGCCGAAGGCCGACGCCTCTTCGCTGGCGGGGGGCTGCGCGGTGGCGCCGGGGTGGTTCACACTGATGTACGACGTGGCCGCGCCGCCGTGCGAGATGGGGTTCTTGAAGGAGGTGCCGGCGTCGTACGGCGCGCGGTACGAGTAGGGCGTCTTCTGCTTGTAGGAGTCGTGGAAGCTGCCGCCGCTGCTGCTGGGCTTGTGGTCGGGGCTGAGCGTGGAGCCGCCACCGTAGGTCGGCAGCAGGGTGTACGAGATGGAGGGCTGGATCTCGGTGTTGCCGTCGCCGTGCTGCTGGGGCTTGCTGTAGCTGCTGTAGCTGGCGTCGTACGACGACGTGTCCTCGTAGGAGCCGCTGCCGCTCTCGGCGGAGTGCGCCAGGGACGCGGCCGTGGACGACGACGACACCTTGGAGGGCGCGTAGTTGGCGCTGACGCCGTGCTGCGCGGGCTCGCCGTACGAGTTGACGAGGTGGCTGGGGGTGGACGGCTCGGACGGCGAGTACTCTGCCGAGGACGACGACGGGCTGGAGTAGGTGGAGGAGGGCGGCCCGGCGTAGGTCGACGACGGCGGGCTGCCGAAGGACGACGACGGCTTGAAGGGCTTGGACGGCCCGTAGACGGGCTTCTGGCCGCGGTACTTGTTCTTGCGGTACTTGTTGCCGCTGTGCGGCTTGCTGGGCTTGGACGGCGGCCCGTAGCTGGGCTTGGACGGCCCGCCGTAGCCGCCGGCGCCGGAGCCGCTCAGGGAGTACGTGGCCTTGGGGCGGTGCGGCTTGGAGCCGGAGCCGCGCGTGGGGTGGCCGTAGCCGCTCTTGCTGGGCCCGTAGCTCTGGCGGGTGGGGCGGTCGTACGTGGACGTGGCCTCGAAGCTGTCGAGGCCGTGGCTCTGGCCGTGGCTGGGGCCGTGGCTGGGGACGTGGCCGTGGCTGTGGCCTTTGCCCTTGCCC